TATATATATATATATATAACTCAATTTCTTTCTTATTCACAAGGCTTTGCATCATGTTTTGCAATTGCATCACGGGTCATATTTTTTTTTCATTTGCTTTTCACTCTTCATAGGTGCCAAGAAGAATAAGGATGTAGATGACACATATTTGTTTTTTTGGACTAAAGTAATACGTACGTACCCACAGACATTCCCTCCGCTTGCTTTTTATTAGTTCTTTTCTTCTCTCAATTTTTTTATGTTGAAATTTTAGGGGTTATTTATCGTATAGAGTATGAATTAAGTATTTGCAATTGAGGTTTATCAATTAGGGATTTGAAATCGGGGCTTATCGGTTTATGAGTTGCAATTTATTTTCATTTTGTTGAATTATCAAATGGGGATTTGAAATTGATTTTAGTATTCTTGCTTGTATGAATTATCAATTAGTGATTTTGATAAATTAATTGGTTGTTGATATGTTGATTGCAGATGTGACAAAAGCTTAGTTTCCTGGTACACATATAAGAATGGCCATCAACTCGAACAATTCAGTTACCATCCCTCAATTCTAACTCCAGGGATATCATCTTCAAGACCAGTCTCATATCCCTGCAAGTGAATTTTTTCCAACTTATTGCAGTAGTGTTGTGTGTAGGTTAATTAGCATGTGTATACAGGCTAATTTGAGTTTGTATTTGGAAATATGATGATAATTTCAATTATGTATTTAAATATGGGAAAACTTATGTATATATTTAATGTAATATTACATTCATATTTGGTTTTTTTTATACCATATTTATTTCTTGTTCCCAAATGCCCACAAAACCTTAATTTTTTTAGTGTTGTCATATGACGTCTATTTTTAATACATACACATATGAAACAGTAAAATAATTTTTAATAATACAGACAAAATATGTAATACATATTTTTCACCAAAAAATAACTATTTAAAAATGAAACTAAAAACTACCAAACTTTGTATTAGAGCGACGACCAATATGGTCGCAAAGTTGTATAGTATGAACATGCTATTGGCGACGGATGAGTTTTCTATTAGCGACGATGGACTGTGGTTGGAATTGATAATCGGCGACGATTTGGATTTTCTCGTCGCAAAATATTCAAATTAACCGCCAAATATGGGGGCACTCAGACGACGCATTAGCGACAACTATTTTCAAAATTTGCGACAAAATGAATTGGTCGTATGACAACATACATGACTAAATGTCAATTTCGTGGGTAAAC